TTGTGGTTTGTACCCCAATTATGCACCTGACACTGTGGCGTAACCCGGTCGTCAACCCAATAAATAAAATTTCAAATCACCCTTATATGAGATGGACTCATTCAGTATTGCTGTTTTCGAATTGCAACGATGGGTCATAGTGTCCGGAGGGAAGAGCGACTGGAAATCCGGTACGTACTGCAGTTGTTCAGACCATAGGACGGTGTACGGACTTCCGTGTACCGCGTGTGCACGCTCGCGTACAGACTTCAGCACTCGCTTCATTATGGCGAAAATTCACAGGAGGCAGTCAGAGCAACGCCACACGATGCCACAATGTGCACTTTTATATTTCTGCCCGCAATCGCCCAATAAAAGAAAGCCCCCGCCGCCCTTCTGGGCGGTCTACCATGTATAACCCTCAAACGATCACCCCACCCGTTCGCCGGGCCACGATATATCGATCGGACCATAGTGACACTACACCTATACTGAGTAGGTATACCTTAGTACTACTGTAGGTACTGAGTCTACCTAAACTTTTAGTTTCTATATCGACTGGCATGAGCCTATAATTTTCTCAGGCATACACGTTTGCATGCATTCCCATAAGTAGTATGTATGTATCTGCGGTCAAACAAGGCTCTGTACCTGCGCTCCGCCCCGAATGCGCCTTTGATACGCACGGGCTATAATAGGAGTGTCCATCAAAGGTCGGACCATCCCGTTGCGGACTCATTGCGATCTGAGCACAACCGTGTGTGACTTTGACGGCGATATCAAAGTGCATTGAGGCGCGCGGTCGGCAATACATCACTCCAGACAGGCTAGGCTAGATAACAAACGTAAGTGTACGTTACTACTGTAAGTTGCCGTCCAGACCAGCTTATGCAGGCCATACGACAGGGCTACCTATCTTTACTTCATGCACCATTCTAGCGGTGCCTACGACTACTCTAGATAGTTTGCACTGGGAGAAAAGTTTCTCGTACCTGCTCAATTTACGTACTCAACGGGATCAACCTAAATCTGAATCAAGGCCGCGGCTGGATACAATTGGCTAATCACATTCTAAAGCTTGTCGCACTGCGCACTTTAGGTAATGGGACTCGTGCTCAAAGCTTACCCCACCCAGCACCGTAGTCAAGAATGGCTGTCAGTGCAATCGCAAGAGGGTATATTGAAAGCAACACGTATGCTACCCACAGAGGATAACTCGTCCGCCGCACTCCCAGGATGCCAACACCTAAGCAAACCGCCAGTATGACGGTAACCTGCGCAAGGAAATATGGTTCAAAATTCTCGTTTGAATGTTGTCCGATGCCGTCAAAAGCAGACTACAAGAAATAATCCTGATCAGGCATGCCCTTTTCTCGAGTTGTTGCTGCCTCACTGTTTCCTAATTCCGATGAAGTCTCTTGTGTATCCCCGGAGAGAAGGTGCTCATCTCGGTCTACCTTGTGCTTCGGCTCAGAAGCGCCGCACAGTGGGAGTTCTGTACCAACCAACAAGAGCAGCCTGGAAACTCGCCTTCGAAAAAGACAACCGAGTATCCGTCGCTTACCTCGGAATCGAACGTCCACCTCAGCTTGCGGAAATGCACGATAGCCAGAAACACTCCGAGCGCCATCGAGTTGTTCAGTGTCACCGCACCGTAAACCTGTTACCGTCACACGTAGAGCACTTCAAAATCGAGACCCAGAATGGAAGAAACCCGTTTCGTTTTAGGCACAGAGCGGCTTCGAAATAATAAGAGGAAGCTCCTCAAGACCGCGTGGCTGATTTCGGACCTTTTTGCACCCACTAAAGCAGAAGCAGTCCGAAGAGATGTGAACTAGTTAATCTCGGAGGGGAAAAGACGTAGCGTTTGGCCGTGCAATCTATCCGCATCAGAAAATAAGCCGACGCAGGACTCGAGACCAAATCCAAAAGAGATGGTGGCGGCGGGTGCGGCGCTACTCGTCACTTGAGCAAGCACGATATCTTCGGGAACTCAGCTTTTGCAAATGTTTAGGTATTCATCTAACAGAGATAAACTCCCAAATTCGACTATCTTCTTGAATTGACAAATAAAGGCCGAAGACGGTGTTGAGAGACAACGCGCGCGCAGTCACCTGGGCCAGCGCGAGCGTGATGTGGCTGCGCCGTCGTCGGCGCGCGATCAGAAAGCAGGAGACGGCCTCCTGTGCGTTCGAAGCCAGGGGAGCGATCACGAACGAGACGAAGAACTGCGGCACCCCCGAGGCGCGCGAGAAGCTGTCCAAGGCGTCGACCTGGCATGAAAAACAAACGGACCACTCGTAATTGGCGGTAAGAGATCAGACGTCAGATTCTAGGCGAGGGGAAGGAGACAGACTAGTAACACTGGGATCGAAAGCAACGGGAGTGTGCAGATCAAAAAAAAAGCCCGTTGGTGGCATTGTATCTACTAAATTAAGGGGCTAGTTAGGGACAATGCTCCTGCAGAATCTGTCTGAAAGCAGAGTTCGGGAAGCGGACACAAGAACGGACCGCAGCTGTCCAAGCTTTTGGCAAAAACGTGTTCGGGCAGTAGAGAAAAGCGTACGAAGAACATCGATGATTATCCAGGCAAGCAGTAGCTGCGCACAAGTACAGGTGGCATGTCCTTCCACACCATCTTGGGAAGAGCAACTGATTATATTAGGGACAGGAACCCCGGTCGGGCAAATATTGCCCGGGAAGCGACGAAGGGACTCCCGGAAGGAGTGTTCGGGGATCAAGAAGAATGCAGATGCGAATTTGAGTCAATAACTGCAAATACCCGCGTCTTGCAATACACAGGGGATGTGTCGATCAACCCAGCGATTAATCCAGCACGGCACGTATGACGGCATTCCACAGAGCTCTCGACGAGACGGCCCGGCTGTCCACCAACCTTGAACGCCTTAACTCTTTGCCTCCCTTAATGACATGACATGTTCCAAAAACGGCAAGGCACATTCATTCGTGATCCCATTGGCCGGAACCCTTACCGAGTTGACCGGATTTGACCGACATCGAAACTTGAGCGACTAACCCCCTACTGATCCAGCAGAGTTCCTGCTTCGAAAACGAGAAATTCTTAACCCCATACTAAACCCTTCATCGGAGAACTTCCAAGGGGGAGGACATTCCAGTTGAGATGATTGTGAACGCTTACCAGGGGGTCCGACGCCACCCCGATGACCACACACCCGGCCAGGATGAGAAACGCGCCCCACGTCACGACCCGCCGCTTCGACGGCATCACCGGGGGACCCCGGTCTTCGTCGTCATCACTATCGCTGCTACTACTGCTGCTGTCGTCATCACTGACGACCGAGGCGGCCTGGAGTGCCCGGTCGATCTCCTCCCGGGCTGCCACGTGGCTGGACATCTGCTCCTGAGTGATCGCACTGGGGCCAGACTCCGGGTGCTGGCTGTCCCCCGGAACTAGAGCGGGGTCGCTCGGGGTGTGGTGGCCGCTGTCGCGGGTGACGCGCCGCAGGAGGACGTGCATGCTGCGCGAGCGCTTGTGGATGTCGCGGTGCTGTTTGTGGAGGAAAGATATTGAAAGTGAAAAACGGGACTAGCTATTCGGGAGTTGGCTCAAAAAAACAAATTCGCTTGTGGGTAAAACCTTTACGGTTAGCCGTCCATAGTCAGGCTGGTTAAAATCTTCATAGCAAAGGTAGGTCTCGATCCGAGTATTCCCGCTCCGGTGGTCGACGTTATGTTATCAAATGAATCTTGACAAACTTGACTATGAAAATCCTGCTAAAGCTTTGGTACGCACCTGCTCATGCTGCACAACCGACGCACCTGTGAATCGACATTCGAGATGCACCCACGGGAACAGTGAACCTACTTCTGCCTGTCTACCTTTCGGCCTGGCAACATTTGGTGCCGTCCATAAGCACAGCTGCCGTGCATAAGCGATGGTGCCGCACAAAAGCTTTGGGTACTCGCAGACGCGCACACAAGGGAAGCACGCAGAGAGCCTAGGACCACGGACCTGGCTGATCCACTCTTTCATCCCCTTCACAAAGTCTTCTTCCGAGATGGCGCGCGACTCGGGGTCCTTGGAAAAGTTTTTCAGCCAGAAGTCGGCGTCATACTCCATGGTCACAAGGCCGGTCGCACCGAAAGTCATTCCCGTGACCAGCGCCTGCACCGTTGGGGATCGGTGCGATATAAGCAGATATTTTCATTTGCAAAAAAGGATTGGGAAAGGCACGGAACTCGAGAATGCTACTGATATTTCATAAATATAGGGCGGAATGGTGCCAGATTTCCAGAGCGCCAGGCGCTCACTGAAGCATGTAACTTCACAGATTGATGTGGTTCCATTGCGTTCGAGAAGCATGCCAGGTCTGAGGACGATTTTCAGTAAAGAGAATCATCCTTTCCAACTCAAGGAGGAACGCATCACACTCCGAACGAGAGCGTTTCAATGGGAACGACCAATACCACCTTGGGACGAACGAACCCGTCACGTGACACAGAGGTCGGGCATGAAGCAAGTCGATGCAAGAAATGTAAAGCTGCCCTCAGATCCTCTTCACACTGAAGAATTTCTCAGATAAAGTCGATTCGGAATAAGCAGTCAACTCTGCACCTGATTTCCTTATATGAAGCTCGTGACAACCCCCCGTTCGGCAAGCTTGAAAGCTAAGAGTCCCCTTTTTTATCGTTGCGTAAAGGCGAGTTAACAAGTGAACATGCGGATGGTGTTCGAGAGTTACCTTGAGCTCTGACCCATCCAAGTGTCCGTCTCCCCCGCGGTCGAATTGCCGGAAGATCCGGCGTAAAGATTCGTCATCGATGTTCCCGCCACCTGCAATGAAAAGATCAATTCAGCACTTAGGGAGCAAAACAACCACTAACAAAGTAGTCCCTGCTAGCACCGCGGTAAGTTCAGTAAACACGAATAAGCATCAATCAACAAAAGTACCCTGAGTGGCCGGATATCTAACGTCAAAAAATCAGCATCCAACGTCCAAGAGGCCAAAGCTGTCCGCAGAGAGACGTCTAGTAGGCCCAAAAATACCAGCTCGTATCATACCGAAACCGGCGAAAAATCAAGGTGGTGTCAAATAGAAGTTCTCGCTGCCTCTACTAGTGACGAAGTTCCCAGCACCGTCTCACGCTACGACTTATTGGACCTGCTTCTGAGCGCAATCGAGGCTTCTCAATTCCGAAGAGAACGCTCGGAACGGCTCACCTCCCAAGCGATGCGCCGTCCTGACTGCGTACAGCTTCAGGAGCTTGTGGCGCGCGGCGCGCATGCGCCGCTTTTGAAGGGCCGGGGCGATCGTCTGGAGGAGCAGAACGTAAGGGCTGACCGTCAAGGTTGACATCGTTCCGATTGAAAAGGAGCGTTCGAGGCAGAACTACAGTAGATCAGCCCTTACAGTAGATCAGCCCTTTCAACTTCAACCGCAAAAGGGGCTGTAGTAGAAATCATGTTTAGAAGGGCGCCCGCGAGCACCAACGGAGGGAGCAACGATGCAGCTTTGAAAGGCGTCGTAAGAACCAGCACTACGTAGAGTGGGACATCGCGACCCAGACTGTGTAGGGCAAGGCTTAATCAATCGCTGCTGCGGACGAAAGTGCCTGGTTGAGAACGTCACCTGCCAGACGACGTAGGCCACTAGTATTACGAAGCACAAGACCATCCCAGCTAGTGTAACTTCCCCCTGCGTGCGGGTTCCCCAGTAGGCCGGCAACTGCAACGGGAGAGCACGTGCAGTAGACTTGGGTGTCAGATGCTCCAACTTTTCAGAGACAGAAGAAAAGAGAACAGGGGAATTCTTCATCCAAAGACGGTGGCCAGCGAGGTAATGGCCCCCGATAGGCATCCAAGCTGCCTCAATTCATTTACCAACTCCGAGTAGACATTCCGTGTCAGCACGAGCTTTCACTTCAGTGCCATCTGTTCCATTCTCTTCCAACCCCAACTTCATTTTCTGGAAGCTGCTCTAACGGTCTGAGAACGGCCCGGAAGCATTCTCGATGAGTCTTCTCATGCGACGCTTGTGCAGAGCACTTCCGAAACAGACCAGTCAGAAAGGCACATAGCGGAGACCTGCCAATCGTACGCTTCGTCCCCCTGAGAGTTGTGCGCTCCCTTTCTTATCCCATGTCTTTTCAAGAAAGCTTCGGCTTCTGAAAATCGAACGCTAGTGGACATTATCACCATCTGAGTCCCCCCTATCTCGAGCCAGTAACCGTCACCACGGAGCCAGAAGTTTGAAAAATAAGCCACGATCGAGAAAAGCATTGGGAAAAAGGACCGTCTCCCTCTGCCAACATCGTCGCAGTCATGGATTAACGCCAAACCCTGAGGTCCTGGTTTTTCAACCTCTGAACATGGCCTTACCTGAGGCACAAGAAGAAGCATAGCGCTGACGACCATGAAGATTGCGCCCTCCTTGATGAGCCTGAAAATCAGAGAGACGTGCGACACCTTCTAGATTGCGTCAAGGATTTACTAACTTTCTGAAACTGTCTGGGTACTGGCTGCTTCGCAAAATTCGTAGTGAATATAAACAACACAAGAAGTCTGTCGAAAGCGTTGCATAGGTTTCCAACAATTAGCGGTAGCGTCTGGAGTCCAGCTCTGTATTCGCCCATGCAACTGCACTTATGCGTTGAAAAGCTTGAACGGCTGACCAGTGGCGAAAATGGTCACTTTCATGCTTTGCTCCGGGATATGTTCATTCAAGAGGACGACAGCAAGTGCGCTCGTCACCCTGTCTTTTAATCAAAACGAAAGCGTCCCTGGACTCCTCTACCGGGAAAGCAGCACAAGAGGATTGCTTTCACTGTATGCGAGTCTGGAAAAGCCGAAGCGCAGGTCAAATCTCACCCATCCACTGTCACCCCTGTTCTTTTGGCGTCCCATCCTCTCGTCAGTCGCTTGTCGACTGCGCTTCCGTGGCTGTCAAGGTCACACCTTCCAACGATAATGGACACGCCGATCACGATCGTCAGCAGCATAACATTGGCGCCAGCGAGGGCGCCCAAACCAATCTCTACTTTATCCTGCAGACATGCATAGAGGATTATGAATATTCAGGATCACGTTGTTGCTGGTCTAGGTGGATTGTGCAGGAACAATCAGCTGTGCACGTATTAAGAACTGTAAATACCAACAACTGGAAGCCTGTAGCAGGAAGGATGGGGTGAGAACAAGCGATTGTATACACCTGGGAGGATGCTCTCGTGACATCTACCTCATCTTTAAGAAAGGCTGAAGGTTCTTGTCCAGCTAAGAAGAGACCACCAAATAAAAACTCCACATCACAGTCTGTCTTCTGGTCATCTTGATTGATGAGCCCCGTTAAGCAGGAACTGGGAAAAACCACTATCAATCGTGGGCCAGTACAAAAAGGTTACAGCGTGACAAACTCGGGGTAGTCTACCATGCATCTTGACATGAAAACGAAAATGGGCCCCAGCTGACTGTAAGAGCTGCGTGCAAACCCCCAAGCTCTGCTGTAGCACTTTTTCTCTAGCAGCAAAGCTATGCTCGTGGATTATTAGCATGACAAGGATCAGTGCTTCCACATGGTCCATCTCTGGGTCTCTCAAACCACCACCACCTCAGCAGGTAGCTCATGGCTGAGGGACTTTTAAACCGTCTCTATGAACTGAGTCAAAGTCTTTGCTGAATCCCCAAGTGCTAAAGTAATGGTAAATTTTGAGATGATCCACTTCACTTTCTGCCAACATGCTTTCATTGGTGATGAGCTTCACCTGAGCTTCTGAAGGGCTCCCTCCTAAGCCTGAGGCTGCAACAATAAATGTATCTGGAAGGGCCCCAACAATTGGCAGCAGCAGGCCTCCAATCAATCCTGGGTCGATAACCTGCATGCAGTGCAAACGAATTTAAGCCTCGAGCACGGCACGATGCAAGGTGCAGGAAGTTTAATAGCTGTCGCGGACTCATGGAACAAACGTGGAGCTTGCACGGGTAAGAAGTTTACTTTGGTTGGATGAAGGCTGTACTACAAAACTGGAGCTTTGACTGGATTGAAGGGTGCACCTCGAATACCAGTCCAGGATTGGTCATAACCAGTCCAATAAAAGTTTGTTATACATTTGAAATACATATCTGCAAGAGGATACAAGCAGATGAAGATACTTGCATACAACGAAGAGTGTTTGATAGCGATGGCGAAGTCAAACTCTACTCAAGCGTCCTGGACAAACAGACACCAACAGCATGATGGCATGGCTTTTTCAGTCAAGACCTCAGGCAAACGGCTTCCAGCAAGAGTCCCCAACTTGAAAGACACTGGCCAACTCTTCTCTCTTCACTGGTGAAGCATTCAACGTCTCCAGGTTAGATATTCATCAGTTAAGGAATCACCTTCAATAAGAGCTCGCTCCCTTCACTGATCCATCGGGCGCCTTGCAATATGATGAAACCATAGACCAGGAGCAAGAAGATGCTCCCAACAACCCCCTCGCTGCAGGGGAGGATTCCATACACTTCTGAACACACCATTCCTCAATCCCTCTTCTCCTCAAGAAACCCCGTGCAGGAACACTGACTGAAGGATGTGAGAGCAGATTTATATGTCCATGTGGATGCGAGGACTACCCTTCTTCTGTGCTCCGTCTCCGAGTCCCAGCTCGACAGGAAATGAGAAAGACAAGAGAGAGACCGCCAATCCAAGCAGGCGTGCAGCTGTGCAGCTTGCAAGTTGCAGGGCTTCTTCTTGGAAGCTGTTGACATCAACCGGATTGCTTGTGTCGACATCGACACGAGCATGCAGCGTTACTGCCCTTGACACAATTTTGGCTGGGGACTCGGGAGTGCCAGGGAATTTTAGGGTTCAGGATGTCGCGCAACGTTGCGCTATTGGTAGCGCCCATTGAGAACCAAGACTTATGTTCCACTTATTTTCAGGGATGAAGGTGACTGTTTCTTGAGCAGAAGCGGACGACATCAATAGGTAACGCGGGACAGCTGGCTGCTGCGTCACCGGTACGGTCCGCCGGGGATGTTGGACGGGGCAGAATCGGCAGGGGCGCTCGACCAGGAGATCCTGGAGGGGCCTCCTGCAAGTCGTCAGTAGTACTACTACTACTAGCATGAGGCTGAAGTACTTTGCTCCTGGATAAATCTCCAAGGCGCGGCGGCAGGGTGGAAGCCTGCGCCGTCTCTCGGATCTTCCTTTCAAGCCTAAATGTTATCCACGGCTTTACGAAGAAGGTCTGGAAGCAGTGCTTTTTCCTCTCCCAACTCGTCTCAGCACCATATATTGAGGTCAATTCGTGAAAGCGCTTGCCAATATCATTCAAGCAAGGTGCAACACCCTTTACCTTTCACACCTTCACATCTAAAAATCGCTTTTCAAAAGACAGCAAAGCTGCGTTGTGAGCAATTCCAAACAGCAGGCAAAGGTGCACTCACCACTAAAGCTACAACAGATTCAGGACCGCTCTTCATCATGATCAGTCCCATTGATGAGCCGGGCACCGACAATGCTGGGAACCCCTATACCTCAGCAAAAGAGATGTGGCGCTTGGAGGCTGGGGAAGGCGATGAGGCAAAAGAGAAGCAGAAGAAGGAGGAGTGGTATAGAAATGGCGTGGCATACTGGGAGGTAAGATACGTAGCGCACTCAGTCTGGTCTTAGAATGTTTAAGTCCTGCATGATGGAGTGTGAAAATACGCCGATGTTGAGCATTCTAGCCAAGACTATGTACAATGTGCTTTCAGGTGTAGTGAGCACCTCTTTCTATGTTCTCTGAAAAGTCTGATACTTTTTATACTAGGCTGGATATTGGTGGTATGAGACTGATTGCTTCCTTCTGCATTCATGGAGGAGCTTTTGTGGTATTCGACAGATTGCAAACCGCAGATTGCATGATCAGCCTGGGTTGTTGCTTTCAAGCAATAAGTTGGTGGCACCGCTTCTGGTGAAGATGTCGCATTTTATATTCAGGATCAGCGCTACGCTTTCTAGATGAAAACCTCATTGATGCTGACCGGTATAAGACAAGTCTTTGCTCGGTATTAAGCCTGGAAGATCATCACTAGAGACCTGAACCTGTCATAATAGATGTTATACGGGTTATAACCGTACTCTAAGAGTTGACAATCCTTTAAGGAAGAGAACCCCATTGCTGCAGAATGTGGAGGCGTCGGTGGACGGAGTCCTCGGTGGCTATGGCCACGTCAGCAGCGTTGACATAGCAGAAAGCGAGGCCTTTCTCAAAGAGACGTACGGGGCACGGCTTGTGGAAACAGGGGACCAGCCACTCAGAGCCTTGGGTCAGTCCCCCCGCAACCACACTGTTTGCAACACAATGTCCATTGCAAACTTCTGATATTTCCTTTTGAGAAAAGGCCCTACCGGTTCATGCTTACGTAGGGCTTGCCTTGCCGAATCTGGAAGGAGCTCTCCTTGTGACAAATGCTCTTCCCCTGGGTACCTTCGATTTCAAACCTTGAATTGGAGGTCAACGTGATTCATGTGTCTAGATTGGAGGTTTGTTGGGGGTTCAGAAGCGGTCAGTTGCTTTCTTTCGTTCTGGTCGACCTAGACCAACTCAATCATGGTCTCAACCAATATCATCATGGATAGACTGCCTTACCGCTTTGGAATATGTAACTTCAATGAGGGAGGTAAAATGTGGAGTTGTTCCGCAGATTGCGGAGCGGGCGTTGGGCGCATCTCCAAGAACCTGCTGCTGAAGCACTTCCACAAGGTCGATCTTCTGGAGCCTGCGCGACACTTCTTGGACGCTGCGCGAGTGAGCCTTTCCGCGGGGCCGAGCGGGGAAGGCGCCGAGGGCACCTCAGGGCATCGGGCAGTCAACTTCTTTTACCAAGGAGCGCAGGTAAGTGCAGTTGCCGATTCTTACTGTCTGGTTGATGAATCCACTCAGCACATCAGCTTGGCTCCTGCTCTCCTCCCTCGATATCACTTCCAGTGACTGTTCCTGTGGGGCTTTACCTCGCGCCTTGTGTTCTTCCCAAAAGAATAGTTTCTGAGTTCGTTAGTGTGGCTGTTGCCTCACGCTGCCTCATCCTCTGTTGTCCAGGTCGATCTTCGAGATTGTTGATCAGCTTGGCCCCGTATGCTTGGACTTGCTTGTCTTGATTCGATCATGGTTAGGAGCGAGAGTTTTGCAGACCTTGTGCTGGTGCTGATGGAAGCTACCGTTCTTCTGTGGTCGCTACCGATGCAGCTGAAAGACGGCTCAGCAGTACAAATCCCTGCAAAGTTTGATTGAAGACAAAGTTGTCTCCTCTGTCCGCAGGAGTTCACGCCTGAAGCGGGCCGTTATGACGTCATCTGGGTGCAGTGGTTCATCGGGCATCTGACGGATCAGGACTTTGTAAACTTCTTCCAGCGGGCGAAAGTGAGTTGGTCGCTCAACTTCCATCAGTGTCTTGCGGGGTGAACGTGTTTGTTCGGTCGCGCACCACCGTCTCTCATTCATCTTTTTTCGAAAGTTGCACGTGCAATCAACCCCGTCGGGAACACGAAAGCAGCTGAGAAGTCGAGAATCTTAGCTCAAAAGTTCAGTCACTGCTTTTGGGTAAGCAAGCGAGCTATAGATTCTGCAACACCTGCCCAGTTTTCGTGCCGCGTAACTGTCCTGCCTATAACGCTTGGTTGAAGTCTTGACACTTGTCGTTAAAAGCGGCTTTTCAAGCCGCCCTTCAGCGAAGTTATACAGACTCGAAATTTGTCGCCAAGAATGAAGTAACGTTTTATTGGACCGCCAGCTATTCGGCATCAAAAAGTCACTAACCCACCTGTAATGACTTGTGATCTCGAACGCACGACGGCTCTCTTTTGCAATTTCACCTAGACCCTCTGGAATGCTCGAAATGGATCGAGGACTTATTTTGTGCGTTTTGACCTCTCGACCACCTCTGACTGAGCGCTAAGGCATCGAAGATCAGATGTTACTCACAGAAAGTCTACAGGTTTACACGGACCGACCCAGGGCTTTCTACACCGTTTTCGCGCAGGATGGTCTCAAGCCGGGGGGCATCTTCATCCTGAAAGAGAACACGGCCCACTCGGGTTTCGTGGTCGACAAGGAGGATCATAGGTGGGGTCCGCTGCCACCACGTGTTGCAATTTGCTTTCGGATGCAGCTCTCGCGAATGCGTGGACTGTCTCAAGGTCGGACCGTTTTCAGTGAAGCTGTGTTGCACATCAAATCTGAGGAGATAGATGTCTTACAACTGCGTTGAGACTCCGAATGGGGGACAATTTTCAGCATCTCTGCATTGCGCTCTGATTTGAGGCGATGCAGCGCTCAGTCTAGTTTTCATTCTTCCCCGACCAGGGCACCGGACCCAGGCAGTTGCCTTTCTCCAACCATCGCGTCTTGCTCATCCGGGAAAACCTGACTGCCTGATCCAGGTCCGCTTTGAGTTTAGCAGAAAACCTGGCCCAACACGCAGAACGTGTGCCGTCAAATTGTGCGGTTCGGGTCATTGTTTCGACCAATCTTTCCCCTGTTCTGGGGTGTGCTCGTGTCCACTCTAGTCGGGCGGCCACCTTTGACCGAACATTAGCAGTACCGTACGCTCTAATTCCCAGTAACACTCGTTAGTCGGAATTCTTGTGATGACGCACCAGCGCGCTTCTGGCGAACCGTCGAAGTCTGGAGCCGCCCTCAATCTCGTCATGGTTTGTTTGTTTCTGAAGCAGTCAAGCTCTACACTCAACGGCTCCACTTTTTGGTCCTGTCGCAGTATAACCCGCTCCCACCCGTACTTCTTGGACCTCTTCAAAAGGGCGGGCATGCAAGTCCACCGAACCAAGGTACGCTCCCTGTCTCGATACGACCTGGAACCAGCTATTGCGACAGAATCGTAAGCAGATGGGCAAAGGAAAAGGAAAGAGTGATGTATGTACCGGGTGTCGAGTCACGTGCATTTCAGTGTGCATTTCATACCACGCACACTGCAGGTGGCTCGATCAGAGCTTTTGTATCTAAAGAACATATTGTTTCAAGGCTGGAGGGTAATTCTCTTATACTATTAATTCGATATTTGTTTTGCTTGTTGTGTTTCGTTTTCAAACTTGACTTGCGCAACGGCGCCCCTTTTTCTGATCTGGAGCGGAGGCTCGTGCAACGCGTTCTTAAAGCAAGGTCCTGGTTGTCGTACTGAACCAGACGCATCTTTTGTTTTCTCCGCTGCCGATGCTTTAGAAAGGCCGGGCGTGTATCAGAAGATTTCTCTCATACTCTTTCCCTTGTCGACGGGGAAGGCTTTGGTCGACCCAATCGATCCGCAGTGTCAGGAGCAGCACGAGCTGTCAGGACGTGCTGCTTTAATGTAAAAGAAGTTTGCAAGACGGCAGAGTCCCGGAATGTTGACAATTGCTTAGCCCGTGGGGACGATCTCAATCAGGCTCTGTTTCTACAGACGAAAATGGTCGAGCTAGGCGGCAACGTGGTCGCCGCTTACGAATGATTGTCTGGCGCTCTCAAGCAGCGGAGAGGATTCGTTAGCGGACATTTAAAGCGTTATAAGAGCACGAGGAACTTGCCGGAAGATGCCCTTCCAAAGTTTGTCCCTCTTTCTGCTGAGATGTTCAAACTTCCGACGTCTGTTTGTTGCAGTTGCAAAACAGCTTTCCAAAGGAGCTCTTCAAAGTACGGATGTACGCCGTTTCGCCGGAAGGAGGGCCCCCGCTACCAGCACCTTTACCGAAAAAGCAATATAGCACGAGACAAAAAAGCAGAGCAAACCTTCCGGGGCGGATAAGTTGACGTTTCAAAAGGGAGCGCCTGCGAAGAATCACGCGAGTCGTCTTGAACTAGGCTGGTCGCTGCAGTAAGTGTTCTCGCGTTGTCGAGGATGTACACAAATGCGAGACAATTTTCATCGGACGGTTGCTTGCACATGAGGTTTCAATCCCGGCCGCTGCCCATCATGGCGGTGAGTGATGAGTGAACGGGCCAACTTCGCTCGAGACGCAGACCAATTGTGCTTATTGCGAGGAGAGCTTCAAGAAGAAGCCAGCTTTTCCTTTTGTCTTCAATGCCTTCAGGGTACCCGGTTGCAGTAGCGTGCACAGATTTTTCTGCGACATATCAGGATTCTGGACATGTCCGTTCACTTATGTCATGCGCGCGCTCGTTTGATTGGAGTAGGGTAAATCATTGAATGGTTCGGTTCGACAACTAGCTTTTACTCCCAACTAATTTCACCTATCCCTGACTTAAAAAATGACCATGAATACTTCTTATTATGATGCCCTCGCACAAGGCATGGGCGGCCGGGCCCCAAGAAACAAATCATTGTCATGTCCTTGTCCTTATGGGGTGAAAATATGGGCATGACAATTCGATCCACAGCGCACGCAACTCAGTGATTTGTGTGGTGTATATGCGACTTACTATGCACAACTTCAGAGTCGAAATTTGGATTTCATGGCAGTTGCAAAAACCACTTACTTGAATGTGGCCCATGATCCAATTTGAACCAAGCTCAAAAAACTTCTTTCGTTCCTGTCACGCCAGAATGGCTCCTTGCCATAGCGTGTCCTGAGCGCGCGCGTGCGCGCATCGCGCCGCCGCCACAGGCTCATAGCCTATGCACGGCCATAGCCTATTCATGTTGGACCCTTCGTTTATTGGGGTCCATGCATTTTGGCCCCTTTGCATTATTCGCATTTAATGCATGGCGCAACCCTTGACCCCCTCAAGG